TTTGAATGTGTATTCATTTAATGTGTTAGATCTTTAATCATATTTTTTTTAGGAATTAACTTGACATTTTTTGTTGTTGTATGAATTTAATTATGAATGTTTTAGTAATTTTGAAGCCAACTCAGTCAACTTAAGTAACCTTACTTTTGAACACATAAAAAATGTATTAATAGATTTATGGACAATAAATTTAAATATTAACATAATTTTTATGTGCGATTTAGTCCTTGGACCGAACTTGTGTGAAGCTTCATGGATGCCTGTCTCAACAAAAAGTGGATTTGATGTTCGATATCAGCTGTATGAAGGTTAATGCTGCATGTATTAATCTAATTTTGTCAGTTCATTCATATATTATCCATTTGCAAAATATTGCCTCTGGTTTACGTTTCTAGTGAAATAGTAAATTAGCAAGGTTCTTTTTTCATTAGCAGTTAAATTTTTCTTAATTACTAATTTGTAATCTTTAAAATATTAATTTTCCCTCATGAATTTTCCACTTAATATATCATATAATGGCTATACTTACAAAACACAGTTTTTATCTAATCATCATATCTGAGGGGTGCTACAGTTATTTATTTCTATTGCCAGGTAACAACTGTTGCTACACTGGGCCCAGTTGCCAGTTTGAAGTGAAGACTCTCACTCCACATACAACCTACAATTTTAAGATCAGGGCAATTACTGATGTTGATGAGAGTCCATTTAGTGAAGCTACTACTGTAACAACGGAGGAGGATAGTGAGTCTGAAATTTTATATTTGGGTTTGGTTGGGTTGGGGGGGGGGGGGGAGTGTTTAATATCTGATGCTATAATGGTGACCATAATATGAATAAGGTAGCTCATAATAATTTTTGCTGCTTTAAGATATAAATAATTTTATAAATAATTGCTCAATCTTAATTTCACAACTTATAAATTTTCTATACAAATAAATAAACCTGATATATGATTATGACCAAACGGTCAGAAACTACCTAAATGATATTTCTATCAATGCATGATGACATGCTTTGCTCTCATTTCTTCATTATCTTGTTGACTCGGATCCATTCTTAAATCACTAGGTAATTTTTTTATATGCACTACTTTTTTTTTCTTTTCTATTTAGTTCCTGAAGCCCCACAAAATGTCTGTGTGTTAGGTGCAACAGCCACTCAACTCAAAGTAGGATGGGATCCACCTGTAAAGTTTCATGGAATTCCAAAAGGATATTATGTTTATCAGGGTCAGTGGATTAACTTGAATATATAATTTATTGTCTGAATTCATTATTAGATTTCCTGTATATGTAAGGCAAGATAAGAGGTAAGGAGAAAGATAAAATTGAAAGGATGAAGTCAAACAAATTTTGGTAATTCAGTTGCACTTTAAAAAAAGAGAATTTTATTGGAGGATATCAGCAGTAGTAGCTTGGTGAACATTTTTTATTGCAGGCGATCAGCAGTAGGTGCTTGGCAATCAAATGTTATTGAAGGATATCAGCAGTAGTTGCCTGGCAACAACAAATGCTATTTGAGGATATCAGCAGCAGTTGCCTGGCAACAACAAATCTATTTAAATCTTTCATTGTTCAATCAACTACATCAGTTATTTTAGTTTCATTTTTGCTTACACACTATTGTATACAACAAGAGAAACCATGCATTGTCAAGATATTTTTCAGGTATACAAAATAATTTGTCCCTGCGTGTTTGGGGAAGTTGTTGGTGTAACACTGCACAGCTGTATATTTCTTTTTAACATGTGTTTGAAAGTTTGTAAGTTTTATATGAAAGCAAAGTAGTAAAAAGTTGAACATCTGATTTCTTCTTCTAAGTCTTCTTCTAAATCTTCTTCTAAATCTTCTTCTATTTCTTAAGGTCCCACGATCAATTTATTGATAATTCTGGCTCCTATGCATGTAGATGGGATTTGCAATGTTTCTGTGCCTGGTGTTGACGAGGATATTTCACTGATTTCCAGTGCCACTTTGTGAGGGAATCATGCACTGGGGGGTTTGAAGGCTTGAGGCAGTAGACACAAATGTGTCTAGTGTTGTCGCCTCAACCGTTCCTTTTTGAAAGCTTGTTCCAGTCCCTGATTGTCTTGAGCAGGAATGAGCGGCTCCTGTACTGGCAGCTCGCTGGTATGAGCCTGAATCGCATGTCATGGCCTTGTCGCTGTCTGGGGGGGGGGGGGGGGACGAGTTTCTGTTTAAATTTGGAAAGGTGGACCAGCCCATTATTTATCTTGTACATCATGGAGAGCCTGGATTGTCGTCGTCGTTCATCCAATGGTGACCAGCCTAGTGTTTCCAGCATGCTGCCAACACCAGAGGTATTCCTTTAGCGGTTTAGGACAAAGCATGCTGCTCGTTGCTGGACCGCCTCCAACCTGTCAATACTCTTCTGGGTAAATGGGTCCCAGACTGAAGATGCATAATCTAAAACCGGACGGACAAAGGCTTTATATGCTCTTTCTTTTACACAGGAGTTGCCAATCTTTAGATTTCGCCTTAAGAATGCGCTATTTGATAGAAGTGTAAAAAAAAGAACATAACCATGAAATTATTTTTCACAAAATGTTTGAAATTTGCATGCAAAAAATTATTAATTAAAATTTGTATACTTCTTTTTCTCTTATTTCTCAACTTTAATTTTTTTGTTGAATTTGCTTTAGGTTTAAATGACAAAATCTTAGCATATCTGCGCAATTTAATTGTAAAAGATACTTTTAATTTTCTCTCACCTCAGGTAAGACCATGGTGACCCACACAACAGAATTAACAGCCATTGTTTCTGGCCTCACCCCTAGTACTTCTTATGAAGTTGAGGTGAGTGTATTTCACCATGTCTTCTTTTTTAGAAACCGGAAATAATATTTTTTTAAATTTTCACGGAGCTGCTTTTTCCACATTTAATAGCTTGTAAATGAATTATAAATAGGAAAATAATCAAAACTATTTGTGAACTTCATTCATGCAATCTGTATGAAGATTTTTTAAAAGTAAAGTCTTGACATATGCACCGTTATTTCTTAAAATAGGTAAAACTATTACGTTACTAACAATATAGTTAGGTAAATTTTTAAAAATAAAAAATCGTAACTTTTCATAATTATTTCGTATTTTAAGTATTTCCAAGTGTTTATTGAAAGCACCATTAACAAGTTGTTGGTGTTGAACTTTCCCTATGCCCTTGAACAACTTGTTTCAGATCTCTTGCAATTTGCTCTGTATTAATTATTTTTATTTTTATCTTAATGTGTTTATAGACCTATGTTTTGTCTGTCCTTTTCATTCCCTTAAGTTAGTTCACCAATGCTTATTTGCTTGGAGTAACTTTATGAGACACTGCAGTGTTCATAAATGAACTAATATCATTTTTGACGCAGGTTTGTGCAGCAACGTTTAAAGGTAAAGGTCCCAGATCCTCATGTACAGGCACCACAGCAGACATGGGAGCTCATGTGCCCGGAAAGCCGGTTGTTCAAGTTCTTGGCAGGAATGAAATGCATGTCAGCTGGGATGCCCCCCAAGTTCCGATGGGAAGAATCACACGTTACGATGTTAGCATGAATGGCCAGATTTTTTACTCAGGTAATATTTGGTGATGCTGATTATTTTCTCAAATAAAATCTGCAGATGTAGAATATTCACACAAGTAATTTTTGGTGAAGTAGATTATTTACTTAGATAGCCTTTGGTCATGTAAATTATTTAATTACATAATATTTGGTGGTGTAAATTATTTATTTAGTTAACATCTGGTGTTGTTGATTAGTTATTTAGATAACTTCTGGTGATATAAATTATTTACTCAAGTATAAATTGGTGATTTATATTATTTACTTAGGTAGCCTTTGGTGACGCAGTATATTTACTTACATAACATCTGGTGATATAGATTATTAACTCAGGTAAATTTGGTCATGAAGATTATTTACTCATCTAAATCTGGTAATATAGATTATTCATGTAAACATAAATTGTTAGAAAATGGATGATTTCATTTTGCAGGTACAGAACTTACCTGTAGTGCTCACAGGCTGACTCCTGACACAGACTACACCTTCATTGTAACAGCCATAACCAGTGAGGGAAGATTCGACAGCAAGTCAACAAAGAAAAGAACAGCTAAAGACGAATGTAAAATATTTTGTCTCATCTCCCCCTGATCTTTCCTGGTTTGATTTCACAGCACATTAACAATATTAGAAGCCAGTTATCAAATATTATCAATATAAATTATATTATGAAAATTAAAAAACCTATATTGCTTTCAGTTGACCTTAACCGTGCCCCACTTTACCAGCCAAAAAAGAAAGAAGAAGAACCCCAGAAGCCAACGTTACACAAGAAGAGACGATCTGATACCAAGTCTGCTCGAGCTCGTAGTGCAAAGGTAGACAATACTCAGGCATAAAACTGAGAATACAATTTTTGTCAAGAAAACTGATATTTATCCATAAACAAAATAAATAAAACATTTCTTTACCAGATTTTTTAAGGGCAGGATGGGAAAGTAAATAATTTTAAAATAAAATAAGCTGAAATATATAGGCATTTATAAACTAGTCTATATTTTTTTCTACTATCTTAACATCAGGCAAACCATGAAAGACCTATTTCTGGTGAGTGTGTAGCTGTATGTAAACATTGTTGTCAATGCCTAAGTTAATTGCTTAATTAAGACACTCTGGTATCAGATAGGTTTAATGTTGACCTTATCAGTTATGTTCAATAGAAATCTGGTAATTTTTAGACACATCAAGCCCAGGACATTTCAACCTAATTTAGAAAAGTTACTGGTACTTGTTATTCAAATTGAATACAATTGAAATGTTTTTTCCTAATAATAAATGCACTAGTATTTTACTTAGCAGCTTTTCTTTCAGCAATATTTAGATATAAACATAACTGCCAACCAGACACATGCTTTATTATCCCTTTTCCCCCAATTTATATTTTTTTTAAATCTGACTTTTTAATAAGTTCACATTGTTTCATCAACAGCTGCAAGCAGCTACAAATCACCACAAACTCAAAATACTGATCAGTCCCCACCTCAGGTTAGATGAGTTTTAATCCAGTACATTATATAAATTAAATTATTTTTTGCTCAAAACAAGGAACCTGAATCACTGACCGGTCAGTGGGTAAACATGTTCAATAGGTCATCTGTTGATTGTCTCATATTATATTAGTTTTTGTGATTTTATTGTTTTCCTTTCAATGTCATCAGTCCCAATGTCATCAGTCTCAATACCATCAGTCTCAATACCATCAGTCTCAATACCATCAGTCTCAATACCATCAGTCTCAATACCATCAGTCTCAATACCATCAGTCTCAATACCATCAGTCTCAATACCATCAGTCTCAATACCATCAGTCTCAATACCATCAGTCTCAATACCATCAGTCTCAATACCATCAGTCTCAATACCATCAGTCTCAATACCATCAGTCTCAATACCATCAGTCTCAATACCATCAGTCTCAATACCATCAGTCTCAATACCATCAGTCCCCCTCTCGTTTAATTTACGAGTTTTTGTTATCAGTCCTTTTTTTTTTCTTTTATATAGTAAAACATGCAAAGTCGCAAGTATACAAATGTATTAAGATTTTTTAAAATCTTTCTGTACAAAGCAGGTTGTACTCCCCAAGATTATTTTAATATTTTATTGTGCTTCCCAGTATGCCTCCCATCTTATTTATCTAGGAAATCTGTATGGAATTTGCACAATTTCAAATTATACCAAATTAGGATAAATGATTTAAATATCAAGAAATGTATTTTTCCATACATTTCTTTCAGTACACTTCTCTCCTGGTTGCATTTCTTTTGGTCCACAACACTATACAAGTTTGGAAACTGCAAAATTTATTAATAAATGCTTTATTTTTCTAGAGCTGAGAAATATATATATATATATACTATATAATTATTAATTTTTTTACATTTGAAAACTGCATTAACATAAAAAATTATAAGTATCATTCGTTCTCAATTTTGTCTATTTCATAACACCCAATCATGGCATGAGTTGAGGACACCTGGAATAAGGTTTACACAGCAGCAATATAATTTGCTTACATTAATTTTGCAGCCACCAAGACCAACCAGGAAACTTGAGACCAAGAAGGAAAACATCCGGCCCAGAACTCACAAGGACATTACACAAACCACAAAACCTTCAGCTCCGGTCACCATTAGCTACATCTCCATTCTAGGAGGAGATGATGACAACCTGGAGTTCAGTTCACTTGCTCAGGACTTTCCAAGCAAAGCGTTTTTCCGTTCGCCAACATTTCACCAAAGGCCGATCCAATCTTTTAGATTTGAGCGCTCCAAAACCACCATCATTCCAAGCAAATCTTGTTCAAATAAAACAGTCCAGACCAGGAGATCAGACTTTAACTTTGATCTCACCACCAATGGGGACATTGCTCCGTTGTTTGTCTCAGACCCAGTTCTGAGCTCCGCTGGGCAAACATTGCAAAGTAGATGCCAAAGTTCAACCAGTGAGAAAACCCCTGAGCAACAGAAGAGTTATATAGGGGTTGACCAACCGGATGAAAGCAGGAGATTTAGTGCCACGTCTGATGCATCTACCCAAAGTAAATCCTACACCAGTACAAGATCTTCAGTTGATCTTGGCCCCAATGCCAATGTTGAGGAAGAGCAGAATAACATTGCTGAAAGAAGGTTTGTTAAATTATGAATAAATTAACTCCTTCCTGATGGCATTGCTACTTCGTACTTAATTTTTATGTTCCTGTTAAAGGGAAGTAACTCCGTTTTGAAATTGATTTAAGTTAGTGAAATATCTTTTTTAAGCTGCTAAATATTAATAAATATTAAGGAATTAAGGATAAATGTAGCTACAAATGAATAAAGTTTAATAAAAACACAAAATTAGTATTGAAAAAATAATGAACAATGATAAAAAATAGATTTGCTGAAATCTATTTATAGATGCACTATACTAAAGCACATATAGATTGAAAGTGACACAAGATAAAAAGTTCCGGTTTTTAAAATGAAATTACGCAAAATCATGTCATCCCTGAAAGGAAGTCTAGAGGGATATAAGATTCCATTGCTATTTTAAAATAAAAATGAGAGAGGAGTGTCGTTATGCACTGGGATGCATTTGGCTGCATCCGTCATAACCCCCAAATGACACAATTAGTCGCAACTGTTGGGTATGAGTTAATATAACTCAATGCCTTAAATAAAAATGCTTAAATTAAAAACCTTTTAGTTACTTCTCTTCTTCTTCTATATCTTAAGGGCCCACGACATATTTACAACCCGGTCTTTGATGCCTTGTTTTGTAAAAGGACTTATAAATGAACTTCAAAACTCTCTGTGATTAAAGCTTGCTAAGTATTCCAGTAAGGATAAGGGCTCTTAATATAATCACACAGTACATTGGATTAATGTGTTAACAATTTTTATATTTCCCTGGAATTCTTTCAAAATTTTTGTGCCAGGAAAGATGATGATGCAAGTAGTTCAATGTTCTACACTCGATCTCGGACACCTGCAGATTCCAGTTTTATTGAAGCGCAGAAAATGTTTATTCAGAGAACAAACACATTTGTTAACAGCCAGAGGTAAGATGATCTTTGTTGCTCTCCAAAGCTGGTAGACTTGTACCTCCAAAAACCACAGCGTAGAAGTGGCTGTGCAGTGCTTTTCACATCATCAAATATATTTTCATGAAATGTGGTTCATTTTTGGCTCAATCCCCTATGACCTGATTTCAGATATACAGCTCCTGCTTTTCCATCATGCTATGGTTGCATTTATCGCCTCATAAATCATGCAAAGAAATTAATTTATTGAAGTTGCTGGGACAGGTATGATCATCCTTTGGCATGACTACTACTGCTAGGATGATAGATTATTTATTTATTTTAGATTTTATTCCCCAGGTCTTTGAAGGCGCCATGTGTTTTAGAGTTGAACCTTCTTGGCCAATTGGTTTAAAATCTTTAAAAAAAATATGATGTCTTTAAATACAAACTTTAAAAAACGCTTAGAATAATAGTTTTAACTTCGAAAGCATTTTTAAAATGAATTTTATCATCAATCAGAATTTATTTTAAGTCAAAAGAATTTAATTTTTTTTTTTAATATAATTTTTAACTTAATGATACTGAATAAGCTGAGACTTTTTTTTTCCAGGCCTGGTCGTAAAAAGATAGACATCAACAACATTCCTATCAACTTGCTGGAGTCGACATCGCTGATGATACAAGATAGGAAGCTTATGCCTCAAAGAGCCAACAGCAAGTTCATCCCACTGCAGCTCAGGGCTCAACCCAGCAACCTGACGGTCAACCAGCTCCAGAGATTAAACACAACCCTGCCACAAACTAGTCGAGGTTGGACAAAATTTGGGGCTCCTGTTATTTTCTTTTGTTGTGTAGTTGTTGTAAATCCTGTAGTATGACACTAAATCAGCATTTAAAAATATTTTACTCTTGAAAAATAGACTGCAAAAGAACTGTCACCAATTTTTCACTGAAAAAGCTGTCACCAACTGCCAACAATTTTTGACTGAAATAGCTGTCACCAATATTTCACTAAAAAAACTGCCAACAAAATTTCACTGAAAAAAACTGTCACCAATATTTTATTGAAAAAACTGTCTTCGATATTTCACTGAAAAAAAATAGCACCAATATTTCACTGAAAAAACTGTCACCAATATTTCACTGAAAAAGCAGTCACCAATATTTCACAGAAAAAATTGTCACCAATATTTCACTAAAACAACTTCCACCAATATTTCACAGTAACTAGAATGTATTGATTTACCCCAGAGTCATGTGAAAGTTTTATTCACTCTACACAGACACAGGATAGTCCTTTCACTTTTCTATGTCCAAGTTGAGAATGGGAGAGAACTGCTCTTTGAAATCTTTAGCTTGCAATTTTTTTTAACTTATTGAACTGCTGCCTCATATGTATACACAGAATTAATTTGATTTTTGGTTTGTTTCGCTCTAGAAATGTTGCAAAGTTTGTTAAATGCTTTTAAAAGTTAATGTTCAGTTTAAAAAAAAAAAAATTTGGATCTGATCGGTGTTTGATAAAACTGCTTCTTCTTTTTTTAATTTTTAATTAGGCCTATCAAAGAGACAGCTGGGTGGAATGTCACGCAGTTATACTCAGATCAATGTGAGGTCAAGGCCACAGTCAAACCAGATGCCAGCATATCACTCTGATTATTACATGAAAACTCAAGGTAGGAAAACTAAACATTTATTAAGAGTTTAGATTCACCAATGTTTGACAAATATATTTGAGGGCATATAAGTAATAAAAAATTGGAAGAGAAATTTTATTATCTTTATGTTTTTTTTTTTTGTTTTTTTTTTTTTGCAATTTAAAATGGAACTTGATTTTATTCAGACTGATTTTAATGCTTAAAAATTGTATGGAATTATAAAAAAAAACATAGAATGAAAGTATTTTTTTACAATTATAAAATAATAGTAATAAAAAATTGGAAGAGAAATTTTATTATCTTTATTTTTTTTTTTTTTGTTTTTTTTTTCTTGCAATTTAAAATGGAACTTGATTTCATTCAGACTGATTTCAATGCTTAAAAATTGTATGGAATTATAAAAAAAAACATAGAATGAAAGTATTTTTTTACAATTATAAAATAAATTTAGACTATTTGAAAAATTATAATTCTTTTTCTCTCCGCTTTTAACTGGGAGGCTTTGTGGGGAGGTATAGTTGACAAATTGCCACAAGATGTGGGGGCCTGCTTGAGGTTCATGTTATGGAGTTTTAGCTTGGTCTTCCTCTGGCCATTAAACAGGAGTGCCTCCTATTGTTCGCTTGCAATGCATGTTGGTTGACAGGCATTCTGACCAGGTGGCCAAAACAATTAATTTGTTGTTTGCCATTTACTAACTTTTTGGGGTCGCACCAACCATCTCTTATAAATATTACACCTTTGGTGTGACTCATGGACTGCTTGCATTTCCAGCTGCATCCTTACAAGTTGGCTGCTTCCTATTCATCGTATTTGGTATTGAGAGTATATTACAAATAATTTTATGTCCTTGAAAGAAGGTATGGTTCAATAACGAGTTCAATAGCGTGCAAAATATAATTCCCAATAACTACGCTAAATGATTTTTTTGTTAATAACGCAGCTGGGTTTTGGTGTATAACATTTTGTTTTTGGGAAAATGAAATCGTCTCAATTTAAGGATTGTGTAAAAAATATTCGGTTTAAAAGTGGTTGGGATATCAGAATATTGAATTTAGTTCATGGGCGTGAAATAAGTGTGCAGTGACATATCATGGGGGGAAGGGGTGTAGCAAAAATTGGGATTCTTAAATGTGTGTTACTTGAGTTCATGTTTTCTCAAGTAACTTTAGTAGATGGGGAGTTCAAGCATTGCTGTCGCCAATGTTTGGTGGGGTATATCTAGTTTGTATTATTTTCCTTCTTTTTTTACCAGCTGCTTCCCTTAAAATCTCATCTCACAGGTGAATATTGCTCTCAAAACTTTTCTTCAGGGCTTAGGTAAATTATAAGTTACCTGTCCTAAATTTTAATTATCTCGCTTAATGTGTGATATTTATTTGAATGCCTTCAGGGTCTTCAGAATCACCTCACTGAGAAAACACTTAGATTAAAGCTCTTCAGATTAGGTGCCTAACGCAGGATATTCTACCAAGAGAGTTCTAACAATGCCAGTAAAAGGGCTATGAATCTTCATTAATGTGTTACTGTTGAAATTGATTTATTTTATTTCTTATAAGAAATTGTATTTTTACAAATAACAAAATCTGATATGGATAACTTGTGTCTTTGGCATACATTTGTTATAATTAGGCGTTTGTTTCCTAAAAATGTTTTAATTTTTTAAAATATAATATTTTTACAAAAATTAGGAGCTGTTAGAACCTGTAATGCACATTTATAATTTAAAAAATTAGTTTGTCAAAGTATTTTTGACCCTGCAAAACTGATATGTAAATAATGATAAATATATTAATGATTAATATAGGAGCATTGATAATAATTCAGTTGTAGAACTTAACAAAAAAAAAACAAAAAAAACTTAATATCTCAGTTGTAGAACTTGACAATATCTGAGTTGTAGAACTTTGTAAGAAATAACATAAGATAAAACTTCACAAGTTTTGCAAACAATTTTCAGAAAGTCAGCCAACAAATTAAACAAGTATAAAATAAACTCATCACTCAAATTGTTTTATTTCATTTGACAAGCTCAAATAACATGTTGAACACAAAGATAAAAACAATTAAAATTAGTACATTTGTGTGGTTTTAAATTATACAAATTTGACATAATTATTGTTTTATTGTTTTGAATTGCACATTTTTATTTGTTTTATAAACATGATATTGTTTCTGAAAGTTTTAAAGGACAAGATTATATTTCAGAAACTTTGACATTTGCTGTGATAGATGGACTAATTTCCTACTGCCAAATAAATGTTTATTTTTATGAAAACTTATTTATAATATATATTTACTTGATTTAATGAATGTGACTTAATATGTGACATATCAGTTTGCCAATCGCATTAAAATGCACCATTGTTTTATTTTTGTGCTAAATCACACTCTAAATTCTTCTGAATTAAAAATATAATGCATTCCACAGCATTAGAAATGGGATAAAAACATATAATAAGAGATGGATTTTAAAAAATTTTTCGTGCTATGTAAACCAAAATTACAAATGTGATTTATTTTATTGAATGTTATTGTTTTTTTAAATCTATTTCTCACCTCATTTCCTGCAGGATATATTTTAAAATTTGTTAGCTTTTATGTAAGAAATGTTGGCATTCCTGGCAATAATAATAAAAATTGCTTGTACAGTTATTTACATTTTTTTAGAAATATTGCCAAATATTTAGCTTATAATTATAAATATTGTGAACAGATTTTTCATAGCTGCTAGCCTATAGTGGGAATAAACAAATCTGTTCACAAATTTTCTCACTGGCAAAGAGAAAAGCTACCTGGTGATAAATTGTAAATATTTAATAAATATTTAAACATTTTGATTTAAATTTCTTGGAAAACTTGTGGAAAATGTTGTTCGTTTTTTGGTGTAAAATTGCAGGTACCATATCTTTGCTCTCTGAAACTAAAATATTCAAATCAATCTGACTAACATACAAAATTAATAAACAATTTTTTATCTCAGATCCTTCTCTTTTTGTTTTCTTTCTTTAAACTTTTCTTTATCATTTGATTTAAAAGTAAGTTTACTGAAATCAAAAGTTTTAAAATCAATAGCAAAACTAAAAAAATATTTTTTAATTTCATTGTTCTTTTCTCAAACTGGCCTAGAAATAGTTAAAAATTATGTAAGTAATTTAATCATAATGTTAATGGCTTTAGCACTATTGAAATAGTGCCAAAAGGTTATGTTATGTAACTGGAGTAATATTGTCAAAGATGTAATAAGGCCTACTTTAGAAATAGTACCAATAGTTTCATTTTTTAAATTATTCCAGCTTCATGAATTAGTATCGAAATACAGCATTGCTATATTATCAACGGAATTTTTACAATCACTTAAAGTGGGGGGGGGGGGGGGGTTTNTCTGTTTTATTTACATGAATGTTTCCTGGTACACTAAAACTCATTTAAAATAAAAATACCAATTTTTTTTTGGACAAAATGAAGAATACAGAAATATTTATTGATAATTGTTTATGCATATCTTTGTGATTTTACAACTTTCTGCAAAAAAATTCTCTCATCGACAGTATTCCCCCCCCCCCCACACACACAAAATTCAAATAATGATAAGCTACTTATTATATTGTGCACCTGATAATAAAATGAGTGATGTTAATTTTAATTAATGTAAATCCTCCAGTCAGTTTAAGAATATATTTCCTTTTGTATATTTAATGTAAATATCAACCTTTTCCCAACGGTATAGAAAGGCAAATTTTAAATATATATATATATATATTTCTCAACCATTGTTTTTCTTTAAATTGCAAAATGTTTGCCTTTGATTTGTGCACACTTGCTATTTACCTGTGATTACTGCTGAAAACACTTTGATAATTAAACTAACACACACAAAAATGTATACTTTTTTTTTTCAAAACTACATTCAGTATTGTTTATAAAAACCGTCCATTAAAAGAACAAAGTATATGGTTTAAGAGATTGTCTTGGTTGTTTGTTGCTTTCTGATTAAACAGTGTCCCGCAATATTCAAAATTATAGAAATACAGAATTCTTTTCAGGACAAAACCTATTGTTAATCAGATTTGAAGCAATATTCTGTAATAATAATTTACTATTACATAATTTATTATAATACATATAAAAAAATATTTAAAATTTCATT